ATACATAGGGAAGCAGCAGCAGGCGAATGTGCAGCGTTTCATTACGCTTCTGATTTGGTCATTCATCATGTCACAGCGAGGTCACACACAGCGGCCGACACATGTTTATGTCTGCGGAGACTGTGTGTACCTGTAAGTGAGTGTGTGTGTGTGTGTGTGTGTGTGTGTGTGTGTGTGTGTGTGTGTGTGTGTGTGTGTGTGTGTGTGTGTGTGTGTGTGTGTGTGTGTGTGTGTGTGTGTGTGTGTGTGTGTGTGTGTGTGTGTGTGTGCATATGTTTCTGTTGGCATGAAAGGGTGCATTGCTTTGTTTTCCTGTTCAGGGAAAGCGAGAGGCTCTACACTTGTTTGACTTAGCAAATAAGTTAAAAATAAGCAATCTAAAGAGCCAGATATATTTCTGAGGAGTTGGTAGAGACCAAACTAGAGCTATTGGACCTGGGAGTCATCATGTAGCCTAAAACACAACTCCAATGGGATGATAATGTTAGGGTGACCATATAAGTGCACCACGACAATTTCAGCCAGGCATTTTGTGAAGGAGTAAACCTCCTGGAGCTCTTCATTAAAGGCAGACTTTCTCTTCGGCGTGGCAGCTAATTGTTAGCACACTGATGTGAAGTTTTGTCTGCAGGTATCATAACCTATGCTGGTTGTCTGTGACTCATTCGCTGCAGCCTTGACGACGACAAATTGATTGATTGACACACACACGGACAAATCAGTGTTGGGTGGTGAATTGTTTTAATATCGGGTTAGTTAATAATGAGTGGGGAAGAAGATGATATCTATCTATTTAAGCACTGGAAACAAGTATAATATTATATTTATTATTTTAATTGTGGTGGAAACCGGGACAGTTTGGTAGTGGATGCTAAAAACTGGGACATTTTAGTGTTTTAGAGATGAGACACCCAGCTGGAAACTGGGACAGTCCCAGACCAACTGGCAGGTCTGGTCACCGTAGATAATGTGTCTCTGTCTGTCTTCTCTGTTTTTTACTAAGCTAACATATTAGGCATTGCAATCATTATAATGATACTACGCCAGTATTATTGCTGCTTTGAATGTCAAAACTTCCAAAGTTGACCTCATTAGGTCTGTTTGAAGGAAGCATAAAACAAATATTTGTAAAAGAACAAATTAAGAAGTATATGTGTAATACAACAATCTTTATAGGACACACACACCTCATAGAGAAACATACAAGAAGCATCAAAAACACCATACCTGTATTACAGTTACACTATTATATCCAGACTGAGCTGATTCCACTAAGCATGGAGCTATAGAACCAGGTGGCAATTAGCCTAGCTTAGCATAAAGACAGGGCTCCTCCTGTGCTTACCAACAGAATACAAATCAAATATTCATCTTGTGTTATTTGCACGAATTTGACTGCTCTGACTTTTTGTGTCGTCTGTTTATTTGCTGCCAACAGTCAATACCAGCCGTACAGATGTTAGCTGTGAGCTAGCTGGCACAGACACAGCATGTTAATTAGTGAGCCTGTGCTGGCAGGTTTTTTTTTTTAAATATATTTTGGGGCTTTTTATGGCTTTATTTGATAGCAGAGGTGAAAATGAACAGGAAAGGTGGGAGAGAGAGGGGGAGTGACATGCAGCAAAGGACCCTAGGGACACTTAGAGCTCTCACTACCAGGTGAGCTAGGCTAGAAGTTTCCCCCTGCTTCCATTGTTTATGCTAAGCTAATTGCCTCCAGGCTTAAGCTCCATGATTAACATTCAGAGTTGAGCGGGGAATCAATCTTGTCAGCTAATCCTCAGTGAAAAGGTTAATAAGTATTTCCCAAAATGTTAACTATTCATTGGATAAATATATTATGGTGATTTTTAAACCTTTGTAGTGTCTAAGCAGCAATTTAGGTCACAGAATCTGATATTTTTGTTTTCGTGGAGTTTGGGCTGCAATTTCCTGCTTAAAATGCTGATTTGTTCTCTTTTCCACCGTGCACATGCAGTTCAGTAATTCCCGTCATAAACAACTGGGAAATCAAAAAACGGATAATGGGCAAAATGTACAAATGTCCTAAAACTGAAACCATGCCACAGAAAAACAACATTAAAGGCATGATGTGGTGTATATGGCTTCTGAGAAACTCATCCAGGTGTAACACCAAACACCAAGGGTTTCATTAAAAAGATGCTTCCACACAAATGTATTTTAATATATGTACACCTCAGATGAATGTTAAGTGTGTTGCATAAATTCCCTCCTCCTTGCTGAGCTAATGTATGAATGGACTGTGTGTGGACGTCCCTGTGTGGGTATTGTGAGATAGCGGACGGTTCTGTTCAGAGACACCAGCAACACACACAGAGATCAAAGCTCTGCTCCGGCCTCGGTTCACTAACCCCAGTGATGGTGTGTTTCTCCTGCGCGGTCGGTGAGATGTGTGATGGCAGAAATGATGTTGACTACAAGCATACATGCTTGTTTTCATGCACACAAACTCTGCAGTAATATCTGTATGCCAGGGGCGGATCTAGAGACATTTTTATAAGATGGGCCAGAGGGTTGCGTGGAGACTTTAAAGGGTGGAAGAACTACATGCTGATTTAATTGCAATCACATATATTAGTATTTGCTTGGAAAAGCCCCCAAATGATGATTATGAACATTAGTAAAGCGTTGAATAGACGGTGCCATTAGAAATCAATAAATTGTTTTATTTTCATAACTTCTGACATTTTCAATGTATTTTTTCATTGAACTTCAGCCTATCGCTGTTATTTTTTAAATTAAGTAGGCGATTTGAGGGGGGAAGAGCAGGGTGATGCCATACTCCTTGTTAGCAACCTCCTCCCCATCCCCTAGTAGCAGAGGGGTTGTTTAGTTGAATATGTTCGTCTACGCTGCCTGACTCACTGGTCCTTTATCTGACTGCAGGTTTCCAGGCCCAGTCCATTGTTCTGTGATATCAGCAGCATAACTGTGCTGTGTATGTATGTCGCTGTCCTTGGTGCTGAATCGGAGACAGATTTCTAATTGCACCTTTTTCTCCTAGTCGTGTCCTTCTGTCGGTTTTGTCTTGCATGAACTACGTACTCTAAATAATCAATTCTATAGTAGTCTGTATACAGTACTCTATGGAGAAGCATCACCTTTATGAGGGATAAGTGGCAGCGTACTCACGGAAGAGCGAGAAGATCATAGAGACACACTAATGCCTATTATTCCAGTATTATTTCTTTGATCATTCAGTGGCGTCCGTGGTGCTGATAATACACTCCCACACCCATGTGGGGTTTGCTAACCCGAACCCTACCATAGGGCTTTAGGTTTATGTGGAAATTAGATATCAGGGGAGCTCATTTAGTCTGTTTCTGTCTAATACCCAATAACTTAATAGCCTCTGTTTAATAATTAATAATAATGATTTATTTACAAAAAGTTCTAATGTCCTTGCTGCAGTGGCCATGGGTTCAAGTTCAACCTGTGGCCCTTTGCTGGGTGTCATCATTTCTCATTCTCTCTCTTTCTCCCTTTCCTGTTTATCTTGAGCTGTCCTGTCAAAAAAGAAAAATAAATCCCTCAAAATATTTAATATATATAAAGAATACTTCTGGTTTCAGTGTACTAATGCACCTGGATGTTCCCACCAGTTTGTGTTACATGATACCGACAACGCCTTGATCACATTGCCATTGCTATATCGCCACTTAGTGGTTAATCACTGTCATCACCACTTGTTGAGGCTGGAGAGGAGTGTTTTTATTCGTTAGGGAAACTATTTCAGTTGAATAAGAAATCATGTAAATGGTCGGTAAACCTAAATTGCATGAGTTGCTTGTTCGTTGATCAAGCAGTTTGTGATCAGTTTAAAATCTGATTAAAAGATTAATAAAACAAAGTTTGCTTCAACATACACAATAAGTGTCCCAATTTCATACTACACACTGATTCTGAGCATGTTCACGAAGGAAAAGTGACCCGTAAACATCAGCATGCACACTAAACAATGCTTGATTTTAGTGTGGAAAGGTTACAGATTGTGAAATATGGTGAAAAAAATAAGTATCAAATCTTTAGAAAAACATTTTCTCTTAGTGGAGTTTGTCAGTGATACTCAAAGTCGCACACTGTCTCCTAAATACTAATTCTATACAGTATAATTTACAAACTATACATTCTAATCAACATATTATATTGTTGTAGCACTTAGTACATAAAATAATCTACATACATAACTGCTTTATGCTAATAGGAAATGTATCTTTGGGCTGTCACTGCCGATTAAATTTCCTAAATATACATACAAGATTCAATACTTATGTTTTGTCTGAAAAACACAGAAAAATGTTATTGTGTGCTTTGTGTATATTTATATAAATAGATACATATTGTCACATTTTTAGTGTGAACACACCACATATTAACACCTGCTTAGATTCATTATAGTGTACCATGACACTTAATATTATGTGTGCAGTAACAGTTATATGTATAGAACTGGGAATCTAAAGAGAATAGACTGACATTAAAGGGTTAGTTCACCCAATTTAAAACAAAAACTTATTTTCTCATTCACCATTAGTGCAATGTAGCCATTTAGTCTTGGATGTTTTTGCTCAGTTTTTAATATTTCTGCCAACATCCAAATACAAAGGAGGTGAAACAAATTCTGTTTTTGAAAAATGACATCTAAAAAATTCAACAGCAACGTCTCTGTCCAAAATAAGTGTCCTTGTTGCTTTGAATAATTTACAGACCTAACTGTGGACAATTACATGGAACAACTTTCTATCAAAGAAACAGTCCCAATAGGTTAACTGCTGATATTATGTTCCTAGGATCAGGCAGTGAAACCAGGATACAGCTGCTGGAAAGAGACAAACTATTCTATTGCTGTTCATTGTTTCAGGTTGAGGCAAAAATGAATCCAAAACTATCTCCAGATAAGTGAGAAGATGTGTTTTCTGTAACTTGAGTGACCCTTTATGTTAACGTGCATCCTTCATCTCATTAAGAAGGTGAACCTCTTTTGTTAAGACAGTCATTTATTGAGGCACTTGACACAAGCCATGGAATGTACAAATCAAATACAACAAATTTAAGGTATTTTTCACATTCTTGCATCTGTAAACATGGTAAAGATAATACATTCTGACAGTTAATTCACATTGTACTGTGTGTCCCCCCCAACCCCCAATGGAGAGAGGAAAAATATCAACACCTCGCTCAGAGTAGTGTACAGTATACGACCGCTACGCAGAGTGTACAAAACAGCAGTGGAGCCAAATACAAAACTATTACCTGACCCCCATTACAGTAACTCTTCATTCATGAAGAGTGCACATCTGTCAGGAGTGGATCAGCGAAAAAAAAAAGCAACATGTAGACAAGCTGCTCATGTGCTTACCTGAACTGCATCTATTCAGTCATGTCACATAATGTGTGTAAGAGGTAAGTAAACTGGGGATGAGGCATCTAAGTCTATTTAGCAGCACAAGAACACTTCTCTACTTCAGAAAACTGATCATTATTCAATAAATATATAAATACATTATCTATATTTTTCGCAGGCATGTGTACAGACAGAATCCAAGAGTGTCTGTCTGCTTTGGCGAATCAATCTTGAGAATGTAAACTTTAATGCGTTGTGTATGTATAATAGTTTTATTTATGCTCCTTGGCAATCACAAAAATACACACTAGTTTATTTATATCTTTTCATTTTTTGTTATCTTGTGGCGCCCAGTTGTCAAAATGTCTCCGTACATGCCTGCTTTGTAGACACTTCATAGGGCAAAATCAAACATTTCAGGTGTGTGAAGGTGGATAAGGCTGCTGTTGGGCTACTGTTCATTAATACACAGAATGAGGCTCGAATGTGAAAGCTACAGCTCAAGTTTCAAAAAGGCTTTTGGATGTCCGTACACCCTGTTGTCCTCTAGTGGATCTGGGCCTCACAAAACTAAACAACCAACATTAAACAGCTGGCTCAGCTGGTGCTCACATCTGTAAGGGTTGGTGTCAGTAAGGCTGTAGTCAAAGGAATACACCACCAAAAGCATAGGTTTTGAGTATCAAACACCTCTTGTAGGTTTGTTCCAAACACCAAATATGTCAAAATGTTGTTGAATACAAGTTCACAGCTGCAGTGCCACCAAGATCACATCCTCAGCTTGAGGAAGGTGGGTTTTTCTTTACCAGAATTCTAACCTTGGCTATGTGAAAAAGGCCAGAAAAAAACCATGGAGTTTTTAAGTGGTTATGAAACTGTCTAAATTTAATACTGACGCCTCAATAAGACCTAGATAAGCAAACAAGAACGTCAGCAAGACTGGGTTGGATTTGGTCAAATTCCCTTGAAATAAGTGAAACAAGGTGGTGGAAACACTACCTCTTTTGTACACAGGGGACGCCAGAATCAACAAAAAAATGTAAGATTGTTGTTGTTGCTTTAAAGTTGCAGTGTGTAATATTTAGAGGCATCTATTGGCGAAGTTAAAGAACTCACTCGTTTCACCCTCCCTTCCCGACCACGAGGAACGTCCAAAGGCCCTATCTATTCAATTTCAATTCAATTATATTTGTACAGCGCCAATTCATAACAGAAGTTATCTCAGGACACTTTTCAAATAGAGCAGGTCTAGACCGAACTCCTTATAACATTATTTACAGAGACCCAACAGTACCACCATGAGCAAGCACTTGGCAATGGTGGCAAGGAAAAACTGCCTGTTAAGAGGCAGAAACCTAGGACAGACCCTTCGGCTCTAGGTGGGTGGTCGTCTGCCCCGACCAGTTGGGGTGAGAGAGAGAGAGAGAGAGAGAGAGAGAGAGAGAGAGAGAGACAGAGAGAGAGACAGAGAGAGACAGATAATTGCAACAGCAACGATGGGGGACAATGAGCAGTGACAATAGTATTAATAGTAACTGTAGTAATAATAATAATAATAACAATAATATCAGTGATATTAGCAGTGGCAGTCAAGCAGGACCATGGTAGGAGGCACCACCAGGATCCATGAGAACCTGCGAGACTAGAAAGCACAAGAACTCCGGGGAAGATCTAGTAACTGATTATACACTACTGAAAACATACTTAAATATTATATTTCATTTCTGCCAATAGATCGTTTTAAATGTTACACACTGGATCTTTAAATTAATAAAGACAAAAAGGTTACTTTTTGCATATATCTCGGAGGGCAGGGACACTGGAAGAATTAGGACTCATGAGCCAAGTATTTCTAAAATCCTGTGCCGTAACGAAGTTAAACAGCTCTGACAAACAGCCTCCTGTATTCAGCCTCCTTTTAGAGAAACTGTGATTGTTTGATGGTTGATTATGCTGCAGCAGACACGAAACTGGGTCAGTCCTAAAGGCGGTTGGTGTTTGACACTCAAAACATAGGTTTCCTTTAAGTAGTTAAAACTTGGTAAGTTGATGCTTAGGCTACTGTAAACCAACAGCCATCGTGTCCCAGATTGACTGTTGTGTCTCCTGATGTTTGGTATTTATTTTGTAGTTTGTGGCCTGGTGGTGAGAATATGGCCACATTATCACAGGGTTGATAAACACTGACATTTTTTTACCCCTTTATGCTCTGTATGAGATCTTTTATCTCTGTCAGGACATGGACAAAATCTGCCTGTAAATGCAGCTAATTAGCCCGTCCCGTTCTGTGGGGTGAGGCTCTCCCAGGGGCAGATGATCTCTTTGGCTCCAACTCCTCCCCGGGAGGCAGCCCTGTTCTCCTCCTCCTCGTCTTCGGACTCTATGGGGTAGATACGGCACTCTGGAGGAATATCCACTTTAATCTGGAAAAAACTGTGCAAGGTTGCAGAGAGGACTTTGTGAGTCTATTATGTTAAAATACAGTCAGAAAGTATTAAGATGGTTACACACTTCTGCTCTGTTAGCTCTATCCAAAACTTAATTCTAGCAGATTAGGCATAGGATGTGCATTGCTGCCTCCTGCTGGTTAAAAACAACAACGCATTTAAGCTTTGCTAATAGAAATGATGTGCAATACATTATTTATTTGCATATAGAGCGAGGAAGTAAGATATGATCACAATTGTTTACTCAAGACACATGTGGAGCCATTTTAAGGCCCGAACTGACATACTAGCTATCCACTTGTGATCGGATGACACAATACGTGAATTAGCGCCAGGTGTGAACAGGGCCACTCACTTGGCAATCCGTCTGGGCGGAGCCTGACTGGGTTGATTCGGGCTGATAGGCTGGATTCGACTACTTGTCCCAGCAGCTGAGTGGCATTTCGGGGACAAGCTGGCGAACATGGTGGAAGGGGTGCAGCCGCGCTTCAGCAGACGACGCAGGGACAAAGCCATGCGAGACCTGGAGACGTTGCCACCTACAGGGCCTCGAGCCGCAGGGTTCCCCTCGCCTTCTCCTTCGCTGGCCTCCACTCGCCGCTCAGAGGCCGAGGTGCTGTCCAAGGCCACGCTGATGGGGGAGGGACAAGCTGGGGTGTGGGCCAGGAAAGGGAGAGAGGGCGAAGCGGTGGCAGAGGGGAAGTCAGAGATGCCAGAGTAGACGGCGAGGTGGGGGACAGGAGTAGTGAAGCGGCACAGCTGTGAGGTCAAAGGGCAACAGACACAAGTCAGAGGGCATCGAGAGAGATTGTGACTCCAGAAATATGTCAATTTTGGAAAACATTCAGCAGATGGTTCCCTCTATACATAACTATTTGCATGAGAGACATCACAGGCATTATGTATCTTATTATAACAGCATTCAAGGTACAAGGTCAAGTATCACAGTAACTCACAGTCACTCTTATTTGTCAAAATGTGTTCATGAACATCATTGAAGATTGTGGTTCATCATGAAGCCTTAATGAAAACTCATTGCTTGTTAAAGATAAGACGTACTGATAGAGGTACCATTCTGTATTTCTGTGCCCAAGACATGACACAACATTATTATAGCTCTCTTCAGAGAGGAAGCAGAACTTGAACTTGCAGACTTGTTAAAGAGACATTTGTAACTGAGTGGGGAATGCTGGCTCCGACATGCTTAAAGGTCTCATAAAATAAAATAAAATCAAGAGTCATTTAGTCACAGAAATTCTCATGCTGTGCTTCCTCTACCCCAGTAACAGTTTCTCTCATTTTCCCACAACAAATTCACATTAATCAAGAAATACTGATGTGCTTTTGATTACTGTACAGAAACAATTGTGGAATTCTAATCACACAAACCATTTAAAATGTCATACTTACTTAAAAACCATGATGTTCAGAACACATATAACAAAAGCACAGAGCAACCTCATATTAGAATCATACTTATAAAGCTTATGGCTGGTTTTATAGGACATTATAATGCACTATGAAGAGTTAAAGGAACTCTTATAATGTATCAGGGATAATACATATCAGGCGGCAACTATATTTTTATTTCTTTATCTAATCTAACGATTATTTTCTTGATAAATCGATTATTCAACTAACAGTGACTCAGAACTAAAACAAAAAGATCCCTATCATAAGAAGCAAAGAGCAGAAACAGAACTTTCATTTGGTAAGCTGCTTCAAGCTGCTTGAAAAACTCAAACGATTCATTGATTATCAAAAAAGTTGCAATAATTTTTATGTTGATAAAGTAATGGATCAACCAATTGTTTAAGTTTTAATACATATATGCATTTACCACCAGACTTAAAGACAGCTTCTTCCCACAGACTGTGAGATTGTTAAATTCTTCCTCAACAATTCATCATACAAATTAATATTTTCATAACTTATTAATCAATTTTTATTTACATATTTTCAAAAGTAGCATGAACTGAACTATATCTGAATTTCATTTTAGTATCTTGCATTGTTAATGACAATAACATTAAATTCTTGAATATTGTTTAATTTTGTTTGAAAGGTAGATGTTTTATACTGGTACTTTTCATGTGAAGGAAGACAGAAAAATAAATATTGGAAAAAAGACAGAAAGAAAGACAAATATGGGACAAAAGACAGAAAAAAGAACCGAAAAAAGAAAGAGAAACATACAGAGGCAAAGAAAGAGAGAGTCCCTGTCCAGTATTATTGCCAATAATCAGGTCAGAACCATCATCAATCATTCATTCACATCCTGAGGACAGTCCAGATAAACAGACCGCATGACAACCAAACTACATGAAAACAGCTAATGAATGACAACTCAAGACAAACAGATAAACATGAGGCGGTTTGTGTGTGTGTGTGTTTTATTAGCTCATGACTGATGACAAAGAAAACATACAGCAGAATACTAATAAACATACAGTCTATGAGTGAAGATGGACAACACGACACACGTATTATGAGAAACAACATTACAGACAGCTTGTATGGACAGAAATGTAACAGATGATAACAGCTGGCAAAATATCCTCCTCCTGTAAAGACTGAGCTCTGTCTAATTAAAGGCTCAGTTCGTCCAAATCACAAAAACCTGACCTCTCGTAGTGCTTTTATTAGAATTTCAGTTAAATATTTCATGTATGTAAAACCAAAACGTGTGCGGGGCAAGATACCATAAGGGGTAAGTAGTGGGAAAATGTTTGTGCAATGTGTTTTGTAAGTTGGGTGAACTGACCCTTCAAAATAATATACTTCTACTACCTCGTGTTCATATTTAACACTGGCTTTTAATACGCAACTAAATTATGACTGTATTTTCAGTATTGCACGTTCCCATTCCCCAAAAATGTTTCTGTTTTGCATCAGGTGACAGCGGTTTGCAGGGTTAGATTTTTGTTTGTGGCATTTCGAGGCTGAAACAGACACTAACTAGGGGTTTTTGCTGAATGTTACACTGGAAATAGATGTTTGTGACTGTTTGAGGCAGTTTAAAACATCATCCGTCAAACGTCTTTAGGAAATAAACTACAGCTTTATTTAAATTATTCCACTAAATAATCTAATAAAATAAAATGGGAAAACACTAATCTTGACTAATTAGTAGGTAAAACTCATCGACATCACTGAACATCACGTGTTCGTGTTCAGTTCCTTTTAGGACGAGGAGGAGGAGGAGGTGCCTCCTTGCCCTGCTGGCTGAGTTTGGTCATGACCTGTGTGATGTCAACATTGGCGGCCATCTTGGCCTTCTGCTCCTCCTCCATCTGCCGGAGGATGATGGGGCTGAGACTGGGCCGTCTGTTCCTTGCATTCTGCTCCAACTGGTTGTCACTGGGAGACCACAAAGAGAGAGGAAGGACAGAGGAGAGAGAAGGATTGTCATTAATTGCATGGAAGAGAGAAATAGGAGAGAGATGAAAAAGATAGACCAGAGAAGAATGGAGGGGGAGGGAGAGACATGGTTAAAATTAAGTTTTGGAGAGCGATGGATGTGGTAGTTTCAGGATGTTACAGGGACACTCATATCAGCCAGAGAGATGACAAACATAAACTTTTTCAGACCAATGTCTTTCTTTTGCTCATCCGATGTGCTTTAAGTTCTGTATTTTTCCCAATTAAAGCAGTAGATAAGAGCTCAACGTTGTCTGAATTCAACACGAAAATGTCTGAAGTTGTCACTTACGAGAACTTGTGCTCTTCAGGACATATGGCCTTCTTCGTCGTCTCCTTAAACACTGGAGATTTCATGTACCGCCCGTATGAGTCCTGAAAAATATACACAAACTCATCATGAGTCAGTGGTGTTTGGCGATGGCGAGTCCAAGCTTGTGGGAATCATAACAACGCCATTATGTTGTGTTTGAACCCACCTACTGGTGCGTTTACTGACCTTCTTCATGAGCATGTAGATGTGAGTTTGGGCTGCATCCAGGACGTATCTGTGCGGGTGTTTCAGCCCCTTCACCGTGACTTCCATCGTCTTTCCATCGATGTTAATCCACCGGGGTGCACCACGGGCCAGGAATGTCCTGGGAGCACGGACAGACAGAAAGATCAGCTGAGTAACTAAGTACTTTACAAAGTTATTATCTTATCAATTCCACTTCATATTTCACCTTCACTACATTTCAAATGTATTCAGCTTCTATTGTTATAAAACAGAGAAAGGCAGCAAATCACACTGGACAAACTGCAACCAGAGAACAATTTTATCTTAAAAATTCAAACGATTAATCAACTATAAAAATAGTTGCTAATTATTTTCTGTCAATCATCTAATCCACCAACTGTTTCTGCTCTCTCCAACCTCCACTGCTATCAGCATTCATCAGAGAGGATTAATATATTCTACACACAGAGAATAAATCAGGACATTACTTGTAAATCTGCTCTGCTTTCTCTCTCATTGTCGCAGCAGTGCCCCACTTCAGATCTTCGCAGCTTTCCCAGAATGCCAAGTTCTCACCTAAGACGGGTCAGAATAGAAAAGAAAATAATAGAAAAAGAAAACAAAGCTACTTCACTATTATTAGCCCCTTCTAATGGCTGAAAGTTAACACTGTGGGACCAAAAATGACAATAACACTTGTGTAATCAGTGCCACTCCACTTATTTCTTTTGTACATGATCTAATTAAAATAACCACCATCATACCACTGAATTCCTTCTTCAAGAAGAGTCTGAAATCATTTCGTCCTCGAGGGTCTGAGAGCAGCTCTCCAAAGCTGAACGTCCACCTCTCCACACGCATTTTGGTCGGTATTTCCACGCTGTTACACGCACAGAGGAAGAAAGTTGTTTTAAATGATACTCCAACATTCAGTTAAATCTCAGTGAATAAAATATAAATTATGTATCATCCTCAGCTGACTCACTTCGGCATGTTCAAGGTCCAGTACGTGGCATCATCAGTGAGCCAGGGGTTGCTGGGAAGACACTTCAAGAGGAAAGGGTCGTGGTTTTTATAGGTGGCACAGTACTTCACCAATCTGCAAGAGCAGGGGAGAATAATTTAGATTACAGGCAAGAGACTTCTGACCTCTTGATTATTTTTTAATTATAATATTAAGTAACCAGGAGTAACCAGTTATGTTGATCATGCCACTGAATGGATATCTTAGAAAACACAGAAGAAGGTTAAGACACGGGTGAAAGAATAAGTGATTTAAGTGGCGTCAATCCAGGATTTTTTTTACATTCTCTTGCTGAATTAAAAAATATACACATACAGTAAACCTAACACGCTGGTGAGAGCTCTGTGGTCGGGCTGGAACTGGTACAGTGTGGATGCAGAGGAGCATAAAGGACAAGATCAAAGCCCTCCTAGATAACCCCTCTCAACCTCTCTCTCCACGACGAGCTGCGGCAGATGAGCGGCTACCGGATCATCCCACCCAGATGCAAAACGCCATCAGACTGTACAGCAGCAGTGGAGACCTCTCACTTTCCTCACTCTGACCAGCTCTGCCTACACACACACACTACCCTCCCTCTCCAGTGTCTCGCTGTTGGACTGATTTATACATTTTGTTATATAACTTGTATGAACAACATACAAGTTAACAACTGCAGGAAGCTATTTGGATTCATTTTTAGCAGATTATTTCCTGTGAGTATTACATCAGAGAGGAGTTTTCCTGATATTGTCAGAAGATTTTTATACAATTCTCTGTCTATATTATGTTTTTATGTAACAATCATACATGCTCAATAGGTTTCTCTTCTCATCTGGCCATGACTTTCACCTGTCCTATATTTGGTAAGTCAATAGAGATATAAGGAAATGTGTGCATGCTATTTTGAGGCATACACTGTATGATGACAAACTGGTTTGGCAAAGATATGAACAGACTGGAAATATGATGGACTAGCTTACGCGCCAATGGACACAGATGACTTCACTCTGGGCCTCATGATGGACTGCTGGGTGAAGATCATCTACAGGGAGCGGAAGAGAGACGTCAGCTACGAAAATGTCAGGAAAACAGATCTGTCTCTATGGATCACTGCTAATGATAAAAAGAGCTGTTGGTTTATACGAGACAGGATGAGAGGAATACTTGTTTGAGATGTCATGATGGGTGGAAAAATAAAATCTCACTCACAATTCTCTCGTAGAAGTCGGGTGTTTTTGTCTGCGGGAGAAAATATATTAAAAAGTTACAGGACAGATTATATGTCACATCACAAAAATCAAAACTAATTTAAACAAATATAGCTACATCTATAAAAAGGGATATTGTGCTGTTTGTATATGTGATATTTATGAGGACCACTGTGAGTTTTAAAAAAAGAATTTAGAAATTAAATTAAATTATTAAATAAATTGCTTTTAAAAGATGCTATTTTATATTTTGTGACGGAAAAATGCTCTTTACATACATTGTATATTGGATCCCTAATTATTAATTGAGTGAGCAAAAAAGAGTAAAACTTTGTGCAGGAAGTCAGTCAAAGGATTTTAGTACGATTTTGCAGACTTTGGTTCCTCTTTAAAGTTGGAATTTGGTTTAGGTCCAGGTTACTTTGAGGGTTAAGCATGTAGTTTTTGATGGTTGAAGGTGGGTTAAGACAGAGGGAATGCAGTATGACAAGTCCAAACAGGGAAGTTGTGTGTGTGTCTCTGTAACCAGTTTAAAAGTCTGACTACAAAAAGAGAACCATGGGAATTCCTGCAGCAGAGAAGAGAAGAGAAGAGAAGAGAAGAGAAAAAGAGATGAAGATTAATTTTACTGAAAGATAAGTTTAATGATTGAAACAGCAGACAGGAAAAGGAAAGATAAGCAGCCTTTACTGCACCTGGATCCGTGCATTAAATCCTCTTATTGAATATAAGCCGATTGACAAGAATTATATTTAAACAGGTCACACAGAGACTCACCTGTTACCTCGACTGTGTTAGGATCTATTCGTCGATCCAGTCCATAGTCCATGGCGCTCACTGTCCCTGGCTACACACACACACACACACACACACACACACACACAGACACAAAACAAAGACTAATTAATTAAGGCAGATGGCCGTTTTATAATGCTAATCATCGTAGGCTGCTAATGTGTTACACTTTTCCTGACCATCTGACAAGAGGCACTGTAAATTCAGTGTAGGACATTACAAATACAACTTACACCTATACAGAAGGGGGAAATAAAAGAAACATTAAACACAGATGGGCGACTCTTCCTCAATCACACATTGACCCAAAAAACACATTTTCTCAGGCGCTACTGTCAAACTGGGGCACTTGAAACACATTAAATTGTTATTCAAGTGTAGGCCTAATGGATTTAATATGCAATGATATTTTCTTTTAATAGAGAGAAAAAAAAGAGAGTGCAGGTAAAGAAGATTCAGTTAAATTCATTACAATGGCTGTCCCAGTTTGCAAATATTGTTAAACTGGGACAGTGTCAGAATGGCTTTTTTTTTTTACTGATTCACCATCTCATGTCAAAATATATAAAAAACAGATGTAAAAAACTTTTTAAACATTTTTATAACCATTATTCACCTCAGAACACGATATCATTTCACTTTCCGTCACGGTTGAATGCAAGGTTGCTGAATATGGCGTGCCACGCCCCCGGAAGTGATGTCATCGCCACAAAACCTATACTTTATTATCACATACTCGTTCATGATGAGCTCAGCGTTGATTTTTAGTGATGTATACATGTAAAGATAAAACTGATGAAGTTCAACACTTTACCAGTAGTCACTCTACATCCTGATTTTTTTAAGCACATTGAATGCAAAAGGAAAGAAAGTTATAGGAAGTGTCCTTTCCTAATAATGCATCAAGAAAAGGTTTAAACATTTTCTATATGAGAAAAAGTGAAGTACTACAAAGCAAGTTTCTGAAACTCAACCACAGCTAACCCGAGGTTGAGATTTCACAAACAACAAAAACAGAGTGGCTAACCCGCCGGCTCTCTGTGTTACTTCTCATTAGCTAATTCTCCAAAACATGTCCTCCTGCATCTGTTCACTCCAGACACAGACGTTCTCTCTGGCCTGTAATGTAGCAGCTCACACACACAACCACTATTCCCCTTCAAAATAACGACTTCCATTCCAATTACCAACTACGGGTTGACACCTCCTTAAATAAAACCACAGCAAAACAACACGCATAAACAAGAACTTGTACCCAGTGTTATAGTATCAACACAATGTGACCTGCAATAATAAATGTCTGGGCCTCAAGAGTATGTAATAAAGCAGGACCTGCAGTAAGGCATGTCAGTTGATATTTGCTTCAGTGGAACGGATGTCCAAACAAATCTCTACTGAATCAAATTACCAAAAACCGAATGACACACGGTGCACCTGGGTTCTTTCAGGGACCCTGGAGGTCCGGGGAGCAGTTTCCCCACTTAGCCCGGTCACTAATCCACCCTCATGGAAAACAGGGTGAAACTGAAACTCACAATGCCGCAGACACGAGGTGCAAACCACTGCACCACATTCTCCTACGCAGCGTGAAATATTAATCAGTCGTGCCCTTTTCCTCTGACTGGACATGTAATGGTAATGAGGCATCATGGGTAGAGATAATTAGATACCCTGGGAAGTATAGAGGTGGAGTGCAATTTATTTTCAGACTTCTCTGTCTGCTAGCAATCCCACTCTTAACTATCTGTGTGTGCGTTTATGTGTGTGTATATTCTCACCGGTGGTCTGTGAACCACCCAGTATGCTCTCTCCTGGCACTCAAACACCACACGGTCCGGTTTCTTCCTCTCCTTTGCAGCCCTAAAAAAAAAAAAAAATCGCACACAAACACACAAAGAGAATCGTAACACCTCCTTGATCTGAACATTGCCTTTGAGTTTCTTAAACACTTACCTGTACTGCTCTTTAGCTTGCATCACAATGAAATCCCATTTATGATTCATCCACTTGTGAAGGCGGTTATAATGCTCCTGAAGACATAAAATAACACTTCAGTAAATGCCAGCAAGCGAAATGAATTACACATGGGTCTCTCGGTCTCATTGTCACCTGCTCATGCAGCTCCAGGATTCCTTTCTTACGTATGTTTCTTTTGGCCAGATAGATTGCTGCAATAATGAAACATGCAGCGGTGTTAATTGAGTGATGGTGTCAGGAGCGGGATATAAAAAACAACTCACAGTCACACTCACCGTAATCTGTATCCTCAACGGGCCACTGCTGTGTGGGCCAGAAATATGGTGTCTGGAAAAGACAAAAGACTTCATTTAGAGGCAAAATTATAAAAAGTTGAGATTTATATCACAAAACAAATAGTGAGCAAACGCTCTTCTCCTTCCATCTGCCTTCTTTTCTGTGCTAATGGTAAATTCTTTTACAGGAAGTTAAGAGTTTGACTCTAGAACGATGTTTTCACATTCGTCTGCTGAAAGTGGAAAGTTTCTCTGAGCTCATTGAAAATCGTTTTTTAAGCCTACGATCATGATTTGTGTCACAAACATTTTGGAAGTTAATCCTGGTCCAGTATGAAACTTATACAAGTGAGATGTATAAACTTGAAGCCACCAGTGCATAGACACTGAGAATGGACTTTACAGTGAAGTAGGAGACATCTTGTGTCCAACAGGAAAACTTTAGAAATGAACAAAATGTGCATATTTATAGATTCAGGTATTTTTAATGAGTTAGAAGGAGTAGATGTCCTTTTTTAAATGTGGGAATTCTACATTTATTGTGGAAACACTTATCAGACACACATTGTCTGTATGAGACAGACCGTATTTGTCTCATACATGTCTGGATGCAATCTTTAGGTTAAAAAGCTGGAATGACCTCAGTTCCTCCTCATTCAAATGTTCATCCTTCTTTTTTGCAAACTTTGGGCATTTATTTTCATTTATTTAGAATAACTAAACATTCACTGGTTCCAGGGTCTTAAATGTGAGTGTTTCTCTGTTTTATATCATCATAAATTGGAAATCTTCAGGTTCAGCTGTTGTTCAAACGAGACTTCGCTTTAGACACTGGCAGATATGTTATAGTAATTCTTCACTATTTTTTTTTTTTTTGACATTTCAAATACTTAAAGATCAATCTACTAATCAAAAAAGGATAATAATGATTACTGCAGCTTTAATTATGAGCTTAGAAGCTGCCATGTGCTTAAGCCAAGAAAGACATCAGTGAAAACAGCTATGATCATTATCACAGTACTACGGTAACAGCTGGCTGGCTTTTATATTCAATAAGTCAATATAATTATAGAACATATTTAAAGCCAACAAACGCTGACAAATTAGCTTTGATTGACTCTGATGAAAACACACATTTCATTAAAATTTCAGTCTTTGCCACCAACAAAAACTTTGCATGGATTAAGATGTATACTAAAACAAAATGGTACGTGATATAGCATATAAATAATTTTACCAAAAAATACTTTAAAACGTATTTTAACAGTCAGTTTAGAAGAAGTCTTGAATCTTCCACCACATGTTGGGGGAGGTTGCAGTGTATTTCAGGATGTGTTTGATTTAAAGCGTCCTGTGTGTGTTCTTTTCTTCTGTATCCATTTAGTTTTTCTTAACAAAGTAGATTGCGTGTGGAATTCATTTCCTTCCTCGTAAGACATTTTAAAAAGCCATTGTTTTAAAATATCTTTCATTGTTTACTTGCAGTCCTCTTCTTCACTGACTTTGCTGCCATATTCCTAAATGTTTTTGTGCGTTATCACCCCCAACCTGTTGCTTATCTTCCTGTGAATGTGCAATACAAACAAATACATTGACCCACTCAGAAAACACATTGCTCTTTAGTGATATTAGTGGTTAAAAAAAAACCTTTAATATAAGCCAAAACATATCCAAAAAAGCGTCCTGTCCAAAGATAGTTTCCTTGGGTCTGAGACCTTTTAGGTTTTGAAATGTGGTTTGCATACCTGGAAGCGATAGAGGGATGCATCTGGTTTTATCACTAATCGTTTGTGGTCTTGTAGAGGATAGATGTATCCTAACGCCACCAGCATAGACCCAAAATTCCTCGCCTCTGAAGACAGCAGAGAGACAAGCAGGAGTTTAACTATGGCGTTCTGCTTATAATCACATCAAGAGAGGGTTCATGGCTAATTCTAATTACCTGAAAGGTCAAACACTTAAACCTTACATGATAACGTCATAAAAACTGGATTTTTAACACATAATCTTCATGTCATGTACGTGTATGAATGGCATCAGCTGCCTCATCTCTCTCACCTTGTGTGTCTATTTGGAATCTGCCTGCTAACCACGCAATTATATCTTCACCTGAGGAGAAAAGATGGTGGTCAGGGGTGACAAAATAGCAGTTACAAAAGCAGCTCTGACAGCGAACATCAAGAAATAAGTGTAGGTGGGCGAGTGCCTCCAAATGCCAGACCCCTCTCTGATACACCACGGCCGTCTGTGTCGATAGCCTCTGAGCCTCTACAGCTAATGTGGGGAGACAGATGGAGGAGGAGGAGGAGGAGGAAGACGGGGAGGGGGGAGGACCGGGGGGGGAGACGGGGTCCGTGGAGGAAGCACAGCAAGAAACAAGGAGGAGAGGAAAGGAAAGGAGAGGAAAGGAGGACAGAAAAGCATGGGATAAACATAGAGGAGAAAGCAGAGGAGGGAAGAGGCAGGAAAAAAGGAAAGGAAAGGATAGGAAGGAAGAGTGAAGGAGAGAGGAAATGAAAGGAAAGGAGAGAAGTGGAGAGACAAGACAGGAAAGGAGGAAAGAGAAAGAGAATATATAAATGAAAAGGAAGGGGTCGGAGAGGGAAAAGCAAAGCACTGGAGAGGAGGGGAAATGAGAGAGGGGAATAAGAAATTAAAAGAAAGAGAAATGGGAGAAGAGGAGAAGAGAGGAAAATAAAGGAAGCAAGGAATAAGGAAGATGAGGTGGAAGAGAAAAGAGGAGAGGAGACGCAGTTTCAGCTGTTTTAACCTGCCTGGATTCAAAGCTTGCAAATGACGTACAAGTCTAGGTTTCCTCTCTTCTCTTTCTCCTCCTCCGCCACCTCCTCCTCGCTGTCTCCCTTTGTTTTTCTCTTGTTTTCTGTCTCTGTTACTTGCTCTTTTCCTCTCGCCCGCTCAATCATCATCCTCCTCCTTCACCTCCTACTTTTTTCCCTCTCTCTGACTCCAAGACCGCGGGGGTTGTCATGGAGATTAAATCTGTAGCTCTCGAGTTTGAGCCCAGAGCTCTGGTATCCTCCAGTGAGACTATGCAGGCACAATCACTCAGCCAGCTGCTGTATAACATCAAGGGTGTGCAACTGTATGTGCATTCATTAGTGTTTATTTATCTGTGTGTGTGTGTGTGCATGTGTGTGTGTGTGTGTGTGTGTGTGTGTGTCCTCTTTACCAGTAATAGCGTGTGGTATTGTTGTGATAACCAGTCTCTGAGGCTGTGACTTAACTCCTGTTTTGGGGTCCTGCATCTCCAGCACCACCTTCTCCGCCTGCAAAGAAATATTGGGTAAGGTGTGAGAAGAGGTTACGACGACCACTGACTGTGACTGTGTGAGTGTGAGTGTGTGTGTGTGTGTGTGTGTGTGTGTCACCATGCCAACAGATTGATTTGACAACAAGTTGTGTGTGTGTGTGGAGGAGGAGGGGAGGGGGAATCAAGGCAGCACATAGCCTACTGTAATTTGTGGATGATAAAAAGCAGGTTTGATGGATTTATAAATGAAATCTGCTTCCTGTTATCCTCTTTTAATGAAACATTTTGGAACGTGTTTCCCCCCGATTTAAAAACTCAGAGGCGAATTGCCCCCGTGGGATAATACGGCTCGTAATGAATACTTCCTATCAGACAAACACCGTGGGATTTAGTGACTGTTATTGTCCAACTCTCTCTAGTTTTTTCGTCCAAAGACGACATTACAATGAACATTAACGCTGAATTTAAACATGGCGAGAGGTGAGATGAGAGGTATGTGTTATGCCCTGATCTCATGGCTTCTGTTTGGTTTGTGCGGGAGGTGTTTGCGATGAGTCACTGCCCTCTAAACAGTTTTTTAGTTATCATATCATCAGATCCCACAGCTCAGGTGTGTACTGGAAAGGAAGAAATCATCCAGTACATTAATTCAGTGTGTGTATGTGTTAGTATGTGTGTGAGAGCAGCTGACTCCTGGGCCTGTTTGAAGTGGCTTTGTGCTTTGAAGTCATCCTGGAGAGGCTATAAGCCTCAGGCTGAGCCGGACCAAAGTGGGCTTTCACAGACCAAAACTGGAAATGAGTTCTCTGTGAGCATTCCCCTGGAGAGCGGGAAATTGTGAGTGCTTGGATCAATAGAGTTTCCAAAAAAAGAAATATATTTTGCTAATGAAAGAGTCTTTGTCTTAATAATTTGTCTAGCGTCTGAAGCTGCTGAAGTGAATAAATTTAAAATGTGAGATGATGAATCGAGCCCCGCTCTGGCCAGGCTACCCAGGCTGTTGTTTTCCAATACTCAGTGTCTGGATTAACTTCTTTACAGTGGCTCGTTGGTGTAGATGGAGCCACTGATACTGATCCAGGCTTAATGCTTATTAAACTGAATGACCTTCTCACTGTGAAAAGGTTGCAAGAAAACACAGTCTAACATTTAGTGTGACAGGCAGATAGCTGCGTATTGAAACCAAGATGACATTTGTTTGTTGTTTTGATGTCTTGTCATTCTGTAACATGTATTTCTGAATTTTTGGCTCTTATGAAATGTTCTTTTTCCCAAAGTCTGATCAATTGAGTGACTACATTCAAATTTGCATGCATAATTAAAACATGGCACATGTGTTAACTGTGTTTTTGAATTTCCTCAAACCATTCTTAAATATAAATAGTACCTGTGAGCTTTGTTGCTTTACAAAAAAAAATCAGGATTTCCTCTGAGGACCGGTGGACAATTAGAGACTAACGCAGTTTATAGAGCCAGGGTTTATGAGGTTACAGCAGACCACAACAGCCCAATTGCATTGCATTGGAGAATCCATATAAGTGACCTATCTATAGGTGCGTCTGCAGGTATAGTCTCCAAGCCTGAGCAGGGCTGTTATCATCATCTCTTAAAAAGGATAGCTTACCTTCTTGAGACAAGCCATCCGTGGTCGATACCTCTGTCCATGATCCCGGATAGCGTTTCTAATGGTCATGGTGTCTGATGCTTTTCACTCTCTCTCTCTCTCTCTCTCTCTCTCTCTCTCTCTCACACACACACACACACACACATACACAACCCTACTGTCGCCTGTGAGCCCTGTGTCGTGTGGGGATGCTACAGGGGTAGTGCAACGATAGATACTGATGCTGCCTTCAAGAGCTCCACATAAGCTCATGTTTGGAAGGTTGGAAATTGGAAACATGCGGTTACATTGTCGTTTGTCGCCATTCAAGTGGACGTTATAATTGAGTTTGTTTTATAATGTGATTAAAAAAAAACAACCAACCATGCAAATGCTCAATATCAATTAATTAAAAGTCCAAAGCGATAAAAAAAACAACACTTTATTCATCAAATATTAACAACAATTCTGTGATTTTCACTTCATAAATACCATGAAGACTAAAAAAAAAAGTTATAATAAAACAAATAATAAAATCGAGGCTTTCCAGTCTGCGTTTCCCATTTTATTGATCTTTTGAAGCGTGTTCAAGTGTAAATTATCACATTTCCAACAGATCCTGAACGCAGCATAGAGGGGATTCAACCAATCAGAGCGCCGCTTTTTTCCATCAGCCGAACTGTGTTACGCAATTACCAAACTGAGCCAGCAGAGGGCGACACGGCCTCACCAGTGCGGCCAACAATCCAGTCCGGTGTTCAGATTTATTTTAATTAACGTTAAACCTTAAACATTTTTATATACTTCTGTCATTTAAAAACAGCCCTGAGTGTTTAATTTGAGCTTAACGTGTCCGTGAAAGTAAGCGGTTTGTTTTTTTTTTAACGTCAGTTTAACGGCTACATTCAAACTCCAACTGACATATTCTTGTGTCACCGCGTGCAGGTATACTAGTGTTATTAAATATCATATTTTAGACATATTATTATTATTATTATTATTATTATTATTATTATTATTTAACTGCGGATAATAATGTTTGTGTGAGTAACGGCTGAGCTTTAAAGTCACGTAAGATTGATGGCAAACAGTCAAGCGACGCTAACGTTACTTCCTGAGTTTAGGGAAGGGGCTTGGTCCCGTGCCCGCGCCCCGCGAACGCGCATCAAATTAGCATCGATGAAGTTTGTGCGAACATGGCGGATTTCCTGCCGACGAGGTCCGTGTTAAAAGTTTGTCTGCCCGTCTGCCTGCTGAACAACGGCGAGGTCGAGCAGCTGCGAAAGTCCAAAGAGATCGACCGATGTCTCTCCCGGGAGAAAACGTACGTGAAACGGCTGGTGAAGATCCTGCTGCTGGGCGCTGGCGAGAGCGGCAAGTCCACTTTCCTCAAACAAATGCGGATCATCCACGGCCAGGACTTCGACCAGCAAGCCCGGGAGGACTTCAAAGCCACAATCTACAGCAACGTTATCAAAGGTAAGGCTCGCTTGTTTGACGGCAAAGAGGGCGATACGTTTATTTTTTTTAAAAACGAGGTCGTTTTGGGGGTAAAGACGTTTAAAATGGATGTTAAGGGGAGGAGGGGGAGGAGGGGGGAAGTTTCCACATCTGGCTGAGAGAGAGAGAGAGAAAGAGAGAGAGAAAGAGAGAGAGAGGACATACATAAACAGTCTACATCTGCTGTCGGCACACCCATAGGAGCCGCCGCTTAAATCTCTCTCGTCTGAGGGCTCACAGCCGTGTACATATCGTATATTTAACCTTATTTAAAACCTTGTAGCTTGTTCAGAAACCCGCCAGCAGCTTTCTCAAAGAGCCACAGGCCAGTTTCGTCACTCAACAACTAACCTTTAGGGATGTAAGCAGCTAACGGAGGGTTAAACCCACCCCAGTGCACTCAGGCTGTAAAGGTGTTCCTGTTTGTCCACTTTTTGTATGTCTTTCTTATACATACAGCAGCATTTAGTGTAAACAAAAGCAAAAAGTTACATTGATACCTCCTCCTGACTGTCAGAATAAAGGTGTGTTTAACTGCAAGGTCAGGTGTGGTTGTGTCATTTATTATTAACATAAGCTATTTCAAATTAATTATCATTAATTATTCATCCTGTAGAAATAATTGTGGTATATGCTGATGTTTATCTCGCACGCTATCTTTTTTTTTTTTTTTTGTTACATCCTGCTACATCACTCAGATTAAACAGGTTTATAGGTCCTTGTGTTATTTTATTTTGTTCTTCTAGTCTTCCACTTTGGGTTTTATTATTTAATTAATTAATTAGTTAATCACAACATGTCAGAATAACCTAATAATTCAGTGTTGTAGTGCCTCAGAGATGCCCTGGCCTTTGGTACAGACCCTGACAGATGTTACGCCATCATGAGTTTCATAGTTGTGTCAGTGAAAGTTTAAATTGTGAGCCATATCTCAATCCACCGTATCTGTGTTTTTTGTTCTTTACCATATCGTGCAGCTCTAGTTTCGTTCACATTTGCCCTGCTAGATCTCACGATACCACCAGTGGGCCTCTCAACTGTAATCTTTTCACTTCCTCTCCAGGTGTACGTGTGTTGGTGGACGCCCGGGAGAAGCTGCACATCCCGTGGGGTGACCAGGACAACCAGCAGCACGGGGACAGCCTCATGGCGTTCGACACCCGGTCGGCCAAGATGGCCAGCGGGCAGCTGGAGACGTCCGTCTTCCTACGCTACCTGCCGGCCATCAAAGCTCTGTGGGAGGACTCGGGTATCCAGAACGCCTATGATCGTCGCAGGGAGTTTCAGCTGGTAGGTGGATGTACACGCACAGATTACGTATATGAAACAAGATGGTGGCCCAGCTTTTCTACTAGCTCGCTACTGATAAGTGTTTCTTGATTTGTCTCTGGTACACACAACCCTCAATCACCAATTGAAGTAAGGGCTTTCTGGTGTTTTCCACTTTGGCTTTTTCAAAGAAGGGTTGAAAGACGTGGAAACGACAGTGAAAATAGAAAGTGAAACTGATTTTAATTCTTAATTCATCCTCCCTTTCCCTTCTCCATGTTGCTCGTGCTCGCTCTCTCTCTCTCTCTCTCTCTCTCTCTCTCTCTCTCTCTCTCTCTCTCTCCCTCCCTCTCTCTCGCTCTCTGTTGAGCGGTCAGACATGTGATTGAGTCAACTTCCTGTTTACACCTCTCCCCGCTCCTTATGTCTTGGCTGTCAGCACGCACGTTTTCACACACTGACGTTTTCCCCAGAACAACAGCTGTGGTCCGAGAGCACATCCACATGTCCTTACTGGGACTTTTTCTGAGCTCTTATCTTGCCAGGTATCACTTTCACAACATGCTGCGATTTGTACACATGCCCTAAATTGTGCTGCTCCGTATTTTCATGTAAATTCATGCGAGCTGTCGGCTCGTGTGAACTTTATACATCGTCCAGCTGTTGAGGAGCCCCCACTGAGGAGAAGGGGACACATCTCTCCGAGTTGCTTTTCAGTAATAATGAGACAAAAGACAGGGAAAAAAAAAAAAAAATATCTTTGATTCAGTTGCATAAGTCGGAACTGCTCTCAATGGCGTTTTGTTAGCCTCTCTCACTTTGAGCCGGTTGTGCAGACAGAATGGGGAATAAGAGCGATCCGAGCTGGAATGTTGATCTGTAGTTAAACAGCTTTATGCTTACAAACAGAGGTCTCCCACTCAGTGTTATTGGCACACAAACACTCACACCTCAAGTTACCCAAGTACACAGACACACACACACATACGTTCGGTGTGCACGTAGGACAACGACAAACCATTATTTTCATATATACTGTATTTTGTGTGTAAAATATCAGCAACATGCTCCATACAATTTCGCACAGCGCAGGTTGACGCCTTCCCGTGACTCATTTTGTCAGACCAACAAAGCAAAACTCAAAAACATCCAAATAACTGTCGCACAAAACCAAAAAAAAGCTGAATTGTTGTTTATTTTTGCTTTAAAAATGGCATTTAATCATTCAGATTGTTGCTGCTCAGTATATATGTACTGCACCCTCTAAATCTGTCATCATGGATGTTTGTTTATTTGGAGAGTAATAGATTAGTCCATCAACAGAAAATAAATAGAGATAGTGATGATAAATCAATAATTTGGTACTTTATCAGGTTCAAATACCAAACGTTTGTTGGCTCCAGCCTCCCAGATATTAATGTTCTGCTTTTCTCTGTTCTAGTATCATAAACTAAATACCTTTTGAGTTTAGGACTGTTGGTTAGGGGAAAAACAAGCAAGTTGAAGACAAAATTATGTGACATTTAATAGATATTTAGATCAACTATTGATCAGAAAACTGTTTGTATATGTGTTTTGTTTTTTTATTTCTTATTTAAAGTCAGTGTAAGCATACACAGACACAGGACTACACATGCGTACAGGTTACTGTAGAGCTGAAACAACTGGTTGATCAACAGAAAATGTACTCTTTTATTAATTGTCATTTATCAAGCAAACATGTTAAACATTTCATGGTTCCAGCTTCTCAAATATGAGGATTTTAAGCTTTTTGGGGACATTTCCAACTATATTCTGACATTTTACAGACCAGACAATTGAAAGATTAACAGAAAGAAATAATCTGCGGATTAATCGATAAGGGAAGATAATCGTGCGTAGTGTATAAAACCTTGATATTAACTCTAAATGTGAATGAAATCTGAAACCCCAGCACATCATCACTTCTCATTTAGACACAAACACATAAACCAGAAGCAGAGTGTTTGTTTTAGGAGCGGTTTAAATTGTCCCTGCTTTGTTAGCGAGGACCAATTTGTTTTCCTGCCAGCAGATACAACCCCTTGTGTTTTGACCATGCCCTTTTACGTATTTGCATCACAAATCACAAGTGCCTTCAGGCCGGCTTGTAATTATCATTAAAAACACATGCACAGACTGAAACCACACATGGATCCTCTCGCTTTGTGTAGTACAAAGTTCACACACAGTCTTTAAACTCAGCCATAAACATTTTCACTCCCTTCTCACCTGAGAGTTTCTTTCTTTTTTTAATCAATATAGTAACACATACTAATATTAAGTCACAAAAACACATCAAATCTGTCAAAAATGTGAAAGTCCCATGGCTACAATGCAAATAGCACAGTGACATTGTTATATAATGATATGTTTCGGTTTTGTTTTTGCCGCACTCTCAGATAAACTGCAGGCATTGTCATGCTTTATAACGAACAGAAAGAGCTCGGCGTGATTGCTCTTCTTGTTTCTCTTCTCCTTTTTTTTTTTTTTTTTTTTTTGTCTTTGACTGATTTTTGACGATTTCAAAACCACCGGTCCCCTCAGATTTGAGCTCCTGTTACTGGAGCGAAGCCAGAATTAAAATAAGATTCACAAAAAGGTTAGCTCTTCTTTCTTTGGCTTTAGCGTAGTGCCACGCCATTCTACCCCTCCCATGTGTAATATTAGCCCTGCACACACTTCTCACGTGCGCACGCACACACACACACACACACACACACACACACACACACACAGGTTTTTCAGGTCAGGTTAGTTTTTTGAAAGATCAAAAGGTGAGTACAGAAGCTTGGAGTCGGGGGGGAGAAATAGATGGTACGTGGCGCTAACACGAAGTACGACCCAAACGATCACTACCACTGAAGAAATTTGAATTTTACAGCAAGGATGTCGGTTTACGGTGCTATTAATGCAAAATACATGCAAAACAATGCCCAGAAAGGGCGCAGCGTGCTACAGTAGAGATAATGTGAGCCAAAAGAAAATCTGTTTTGCCTCTTTTGCAGTCAGTTTTTGCTTTATGTCGAGTACAGGCACACACACACACACACACACACACACACACACAGATAAAGGAATGCATCTCAGTCTTGGCCGCCTCATGTCTGGGCTTGCACTAATTGTGCATGAACAGCATTAGAACGGCCTAGAAAAAAACACCCCTACACACACACAGAGCTAGCCACATTTCTGTGTACATCAAAGGCACACTTACAAACACGTGTCTACTGCAATACCAAATACTTTGCATCCTGCTTCAGCTACTCAGAGCAAACTCAGCTCTCGTGTGTGTGTGTGTGTGTGTGTGTGTGTGTGTGTGTGTGTGTGTGTGTGTGTGTGTGTGTGTGTGTGTGTGTGGCAGCAGCTATAGAGAGATTTTTGTCCTGTGCCACAGCAACAGATGCATTCTGCTGAATGCAACAATAGCAGTTCATAAATGTGTATTGCACCCACACTGTACTGTGTATGATTAAAATGACTGAATCGAATAAATTATGTAGAATTAACAGAAATTCCTCTTCTGTCCTGTCGCAGGGTGAGTCAGTGAAGTATTTCTTGGATAATCTGGATAAGCTCGGCGATCCGGTAAGTTGTTTCTGCCTGCACCGATTGTTATAATCAGACCTGTACATGTTATAGTTAATATTGCAACATGTCTAGGCAATTTAAGGTTGAGCTGACGAGCAACTAAGATGGTAGCTCATCAAAGATAATGCTGAGATTACTAGCTCCTGTTAGCGGACCGCTTTGCCACCTCACCCCAGTCTTGTTGCTTTGGGAAGTTTTGAGTATTTGCAGGTCTTGAAAAGTCTTAAAAAAGCAGTGATATCAGTTTGTTTGGTAGTCTGAAATGTTTCCTCTTCCCAGCTGAAGGCAGTAATGTGATTGCAGGCTGTAGGGAGACGTTCTACAGGTATAATCAAAAAGAAGGATTGTTGTGATAGTGGACTGTGAACGCTGGAGGCCGTTCCATCCTTTTTAGTGGAGCTTCAGTCAGAACCATCAGACCTACTGTCACTATTTTTTAGTCTCATTCATTTGTTAAAGTGCAGTTTCTTTCCAAAGATGAAAGTGTGGGCCTTTGCAGTGAGTGGTTCCTTGTAGTGTTATACTCTGCTGTGGTTACAGATCAGAAACCTTTTTAACTACTTTCTTTGACCACAATAGATTGCCCAAATTAGTCAACATGTTACCTATATTCTTGCCAAATTTAACCCCATATCCACCTTTTATAGTATAAACACAGTTTGCATTTAAGATTACCTGAGGAATTAAAGTGGTGTTTGGGTAAAGACAGATCTCCTGATCATAAGCCTGCTAATTCCATGCAAAACAATCTCTCTCTCTCTCTCTCTCTCTCTCTCTCTCTCTCTCTCTCTCTCTCTCTCTCTCTTCAGCTGTTGTATGTTTGCCTCAATTTCTGTCCTCCTATATACAAGCTGATGTTCACTCATTGTGTCTTTCTGTCTTCTCCTCCAGGAATACCTCCCCACTCAACAGGACATCCTGCTAGCCCGTAAACCCACCAAGGGCATCCACGAGTACGACTTCGAGATCAAGAGCGTTCCCTTCAAGATGGTGGACGTAGGCGGGCAGCGGTCGGAGCGGAGGCGCTGGTTCGAGTGTTTCGACTCGGTGACCTCCATCCTCTTCCTCGTCTCCTCCTCTGAATACGACCAGGTGGGAACACGCTGTCGTGGCATCTCATTTGCCCTCTCACACACACACACACACACACTTGTGTTATGCTGATAAGTGGCACATTAATCTGTTTGTTCTAACAGATAATGTTTGGTGACCTTTTGATAAGTCGTCATTGCTGTGTCTATATACTCTCTCTTATTCTGTGGCGTTGTTGTGGTTTATCTCACACCATGTGTAGATTGCCACAAATAACACACCTAGTTAACCACATCAGGCCGGTTAAGCACGTAAACACGAGAGACTCAAACAGGATAATGTGTTTGTGACTTGTTTTGAGAAGTGTATACATTAAAGATGTGCTCCTTTTTTTTAGTTTTACTCACACTAGATGTATGAGAGCAATATAAAAATAAAATATATATCAGGTAATGTACATTTTATAAGTAACAAAACATGTTTAATTCTTTAAATTAGGTTATTACGTAATTATCAACATATGTTCTGAGCAGGAAGTTTTTTCTTTGAATTGAAAACTAAACTTGCCAGGGGTCTCTGGTTGGCAAGATATTTAATAACCACACTGATCCTAAATTACCTCAAACATATCTTTAGCATTTCTCTAGTGCATTGTGTCGTTATCACTGATACACCTGTAATAATATCAACCCAGCCGATGTATCAGTGGGAACAATATCGCACCTTAAGAAATCCCCACACACCAGTAAACACTTCTAGGACATTGTTTTTTTTATTGTTTTGGTACTCTGTCTATCTGCAGTCGGAGGCTGCTGGGACTTTTTAGTGAGAAAAACTTGCTTCCCGGTCCCAACTTCAGTTGAACTATGTTGGCACATTGTTTCCGCCCAATCCACCACTCTTTGTCCCCGGTTACTGTAACTCTAAACCACATTAGGGAACCATAATGCTTGCAAACAGGGAATGTAAATGACACGGGAGCCTCTGCATGAAGGGCTAACAGACAGTTGACCCCCTGCCAAAGCTTACCAGTCAGAACTCCGTTCACAGGGAGGACAGGATAAAAAAATATTTGCGTACCAAGCTGACATTCCTATAGAAAACGTTTTGGAACGAATACACATACTGTAACAAGCTCGGACTGGATGCACCATGCAGAATTACAAAGCTTTTGGACTACAAGTGGCACCGTTTGCTCCATAAATGCAGCTTCAATGACATCCAGCACAATAACAACAGTACCAGCAACCAGTAACTGTACTAAATCCCTCCACTGTCTTTTAACAGGTGCTGATGGAGGACAGGCAAACCAACCGGCTGCGCGAATCGCTCAACATCTTCGAGACCATCGTCAACAACCGCGTCTTCGTCAACGTCTCCATCATCCTCTTCCTCAACAAGACGGACCTGCTGGAGGAGAAGGTGAGGAACGTTCCGCTTAAAGACTACTTTCCTGAATACACCGGGCAGGAGCACGACCTGGCGGACGTCCAGGCGTTCATGGTGGAGTGCTTCCGAGCCAAGAGACGCGACGGCACCCAGAAGCCCCTGTACCACCACTTCACCACGGCCATCAACACGGAGAACATCAGGCTGGTGTTCCGGGACGTCAAGGACACCATCCTCCACGACAACCTCAAACAGCTCATGCTCCAATGACCCCTGTCAACCTGTGAAAGTAGAGGACCTGAATGGGGACGAACCACCCCCTCGCTCCTGATGAGTACTTGGGAGAGACCAGCCTCAGAAGAATCCGATAAATGACAGCATTCTTCTTTAGCCGTTTTTATATTAGTTTTTACTCTCCTCTTTGAAGAGTTGGCCTTCTTGTTAGTTCAGGGTTTGGTAGGGGAACGAGTCAGTAGGACAGACTGTCTGTGCTTATAAAGAAAGACGAGAAGGCAGTTCGGATGTTCGATAACATCTTTGCTGCTTCATCTCGAGACTCTCTCCTCTGGCCTGAGCTCTGCCTTACAGCACAAGACTCTCGGGGGGAGGGGGGCTTTTCAACTCACAAGGTGTCGGTGCTGGCACCAGTGCCGGTGCCTGGCTGTGGAAACCAGCAAAACATTGTTTTATTCTAATTTTTTTTTTTTACAAAACCAGGCATTTGGTTTCTAAACCAGATATACAACAAGTCGCAACGCACCAAAAACAAACGTGGTGAACAAATAACAGAGTTAGATGGTCAACACCAAAGATCATCTGTGCCAGTCTGTGTTCAAGCACTGAATTCATTTAATCCAAAATCACTCCATCATTTCTGTTGCTCTCTCCAGTGCTGCTTTGTGAGTGTTGAAGCCCTGTAGCTTATACAAGGGGTTTGTTAACTTGCTGATCATCTGGAGATTGCATTGTCTTTTTTGGGTTTATTTGTTTTTTTTTCTGCTTCTATCTCTGATATTGCAGCACCGTTCCTCCCTCCTTCCCGTCCCAGCTACCACTTTTTTTTTCTTGGTTTGAGCAGATCGAAAAGTACCGGCACAGAGCCAATTTCGCCGGGACAAGAACCAGTTTATTGATTGTGAAAGTGCTCAGAATGGTTAATAATTTGATGCTGAATTGGTTCCAGCACTGGCACCTTGTCTGTGGGGAGAAATGCTTGAAAAGGGCGAGACTGAACCTACAATGCCTTTCCGTATAATGTCTTAAGGAGACCTAATCACTGTTTAAATCCTGCATTTGTGCCTATGTGTCTCTGTAGAGTTAAAGTCGATCTTAGATTTTTGATTTTTGTTTTGGGTTGTTTAGAAGGCAAAATTACCTTCATTGGCACATTAGGGCAGGTGTGCCAACAAGTGAACATGCAGTCCACTGTTTTCTCAGGGTTGAATCAAAACCGGCATTAATGTTGATGTCATTGTTGGTGAACTAACTGAATAAACTAATCTTTATCTGGTTGGCAGAGCGGTGAGACTCAGTCAGGCCTCAGTACAGTTAGCTAGGTGGTGTTTGGTACTGTATCCTCCTGGCTTTGACCCCTGAACTTTAACCCAGACTCCCAACTCTCTATCTCTCTCTTTTTGTTCTCATCTCTGATTAGATGCCTTGTAAAGGGACAGACCTCCCCTGTTTGCCTGAATGATGAATGTCTGTTGATAGATGTACAGATTTGCTCTAGATTGTCTGAATATACTGTAACCGCCGTCGTTATGGTAAGATTGTAACCTGTATATCTGTGTTGGCACTGAGTTGTGACTCCAGGCGTCTCTGAAAAAGCAATCTTGTGCTGTTTAGGAGTTCCCTTTTTTTTTTTAAAAAAGAAAAAGAAAAAATACATTATGAATTTTGTAGGAAAAAATGTGGATGGAAATAAAAAGCTACTGGAGTTGTCAGCTTTTGTCAGCAACCGTATTCGGTAGGGGCCAATCTTTGTTAGAGGACGACTTCCAGGCACTGTTAAAATCTGTGTTCGTCTGCCCAATCCCCCCCCCCCCCGTGCTTTCTGTTCACACGGACAGTTTGTAGTTCTTCACCAAAATTAAAGCTCCTGTGAGCTTCAGTTTGCTTCCAGTCCTTTGGCTTTTGTAAATACTGTAATCTGTTGCCATGTAAATAATATTCAGGTTTATCTCCATATATGTAAATGGTTGTAGAAATGGTGTATTTTTTTTTTTTTTCCCATTCTGAATGTGTTTCAAATCACTGCGTTTTCCAATGAAGATGACCTTTTTGCTGTAGATGTATATCTGTGTAATTTCTTTCATCACCTTTCTTTGAAATTAATTCCTGTGCCAAGTCTCATGCCACTCTAACCCTATCAATAAAATACACTTTTCTAATGAAAGCAGGCTCTTTTTATTTTATTATTATTATTATTATTATTATACATGTTATTAAGCATATATATTACAAAAGGAATCTGAATTTCTGTATTAAAAGTAGAGAAAAACTAAACATGTTAAAGTATTTTATAAGTTGTAATGTACAGCGTCCAAAATATGTATTTAATGTCATTTAAAAATACCAATGTGTGTGTGAGGTGCCTGTTTTCAACCATATCCCCTCTGAAATCTTTGTGTCTGTTTGAAAGTTAAACATGGTTCTTGGCCTACTTTACACAAATACTGCTTGATCGTAAAACATTATGACAACCGAGCGAGTCCATCTGCTGAGGAAGGTCATAAACTGGCTAAATACCGGGAGCGATATTCTCCTCCACAAACCGTTTCACCCCATCAACCACGCTTTATTAGTAATTCAATGTCTTTTTTTTCTGGCTGCTATTAACGTTAATGCTCATGTGGAAGAAATAAAACACGCTTCTTCATAGAAATATCCAAGAATTTAGCGGGACGGTTGACAGACCACATCCGAAGACTAAACGGTATGTTCGGGGATTTACGCGAAGGCGGAAGTAGGCAGGGGTGAATCATCTCAACTCACGACGTAGAGCAGGAAGTCAACGCGCCACACCCACCGGACCGATCTCTGCAGGATCATACAGGTCTCAGATTAACTGTATCAGACATCCCCGTTATAATTCACCAAGTGGGAATCCGTGTTAAAAAGAAATCTCCCGCTAAATTATAAAACGAACAACTAAACCAGATAAAGCTCATTTTACTCGGGCTCCTCGGGCGCTACCCAAAAGGGGTCTTTTCTCGCCACGCTGACAGACAGACACGACCCTGACTGAGACGTATTTTTAAATAAGTGACACCACTGTGTACTAAAGTGATAATCAATGTAATTTATCATTAAAGTTGACGCGTTGGGGGACATGTAGCGCCCTGATTGGCTGTTTTACAGACGCGTGCAGACATGAGCTCTGGTAAGTGTCACAGTATTGTTTGTCATTCACAAAAGCAGGAGCCCCACGTGACCTTATGTGTTTGTGTTGTTATTTGTATTTGGGACTGACACTTTTACTTCAATGACAACATTTGCATCAGTGCACAATACTATCTGTGCGTCCTTTAATCAGATATTGGTTGATGTTTAGTTGTATTAAACTGCATCAACAGTTTCTGTGTATCTAAAACTAAAGGCAGCAGTCGATCAACAGAAATCTGAGCAACTATTGTGACAAATTAGATTAAATTTGTTACATTTTCTAGCTCCAGCTTCCTAAAATGTGCAGTTTTTATGCCTTCCTTTGCCATATGTGTGATAATAAACTGAATATCTTTGAATTGTAGACTGTTGATCAGACAATACAGGGAATTTAAATACATCCAACCAAAAAAAAACAACTGATTAATCAAGAAAATCATCAGCAGATGAACTGATAATTAATATAAGTGACTAGAGGTGCTAGTGCCACACTGTATACGTTTTAACCACACAGGACCACTTCTCTGTTGTCTGTCTTTCCCCACAGAGGTGTGCCCGTTCTGCGGGAAAACTTACAAAAGGATAAAAACTCACCTGCATCATTGCAAGGCGGCAGCGAGCTGGAGAACTCAAACCCAACATGACGTCGAGGTGAATCAGACGTCATCCCCTCAGCCTGCCACAGCCTTGACCGAACGGTCAGCGAAGTGGGAAGTGTCCACACAGACGCCGTCGATGACTGCAGGTGCACAGTCAAGGAAGGGTAAAAAGATGTCTGTGGTCTCATCAGAAGCATTGTCCCTGAGCTCTGAGTCACTTCCATCATCAACAAAGAAGAAACTGAAGCTGTCCGAACAAATCAAGACAGCCAACGTGCCCTCCTCTACCACCGTGTCCCTCAGCCACACCCCACCACTGTCTCCCACAGCTTCTAAGCCCAAAAGGAAGAGTCTCCGTGCTTTGGTAGAAGCTGCAAAGTCCAAACAGGTTTCTAATGGATCACTGGAGGAAACCAAACCTCCCTCAGTGGTCCTGCCTTCAGGTTCAGCTCCATTTGTGGAAGATCCTCTAAGCTCCAGAACCACAGTGCATACAGGGACCAGAACTAATCCCGACAAAGACAAAAGTGCCTCTAAAACGAAGGTGTCAAAAACAAAGAAGGCTGTACAATCCCTTTCCAAAAGCAAAGATACCTCTAGCTCTCCTCTACCTACAGCAAATGAAAGTAGTTCAAGACCCCGTTTAAGAGACGACCTCTTGGTGGACAACATGGGGGAGATTGTGGATTTGAATGTGAATAAGATGCTCTTGAAATCAGGAAGTGGTCACCAGGCCAGTATTACCCTCAAGGATGTGAAAGCGACGTTAGGCCGAGCTAACACCACCAGTCGGTTCAGCAGGTCGAGCATCCTGAGCCAGATTCAAACTGTGGATGATCTAAGCAGCAAACCAATCAGACCTGGTACAAGTCTCAGTCCAGTTCCACTCCCAACTGGGACTCTAGAGGATGTTGATAGCTGCAAATCTGTGTCAGACCAGCCTCCCAGCACAAGTTCACAACATAAAGAGATACAATCTGTTAAGAGAAAAAGTTCAAAGTCCAAAAAAATACCTTTAATCTCCCCGCAACCTGATGATTCCCCTCAGCCTCAACTAACCTCCCTTGCAGCTCCACTCCTTTCTGGCCACCTATCAGCTCAGGTGAGCCAAGCCAAGTCCCTTCCACATACAGTCAGCATGAAAGACGGGCTGACGCAGGGCCACCACGTGACAGGACTCCCTACAGTATCACCATCACTCGCCCAGATTGCCAGCCCCCATCTTTTCCCTCGTGCACCACAAACTCTGCCGACGAGGGTGGAGACATTGAGAGCTGATAATGTGTTGACAATGGAGAAGTTGCAGCTCGGGGTCAGGAAACCAAATACTGCTGACAATGGGACTGAAGGTTAGTATTTGACAGTAAAATGTCGGGTATTGACCCTCAAAACTATGTGTCCAAAAGTAGAACCAAAACCTTGTTTACGTATTCTTTGATATCAGTTTCTGATTTAAAGGGTAACTTTGCTAACTGTACACCACTTTATTTAGGCAAAGTTGTTGTTCACCTGATTTATTTAGAGAATTTCTTTAGTTAAATATTAAAAAGGGTTTCATAGAAATACACATTTGTATTCCTCAAAGTGAGGTACTGAAAACGGGTATCGGTACCAAATCGAAGGTATGATATTGGAGGATGTGTTGTGAGTGTGTATCTGTCTCTGTTAGTGCACTGATTCTTTTTGGGTGTCATCATTTTAGTTGCTCCGACACAGCGAAGTCTCGGACAGGTGAGACTGAGGGAGTTGCCCAAGTGGTTGGCCTACAAAGCTCCGAGCCATCCAAGAGATGTAGTGAGCATGGTGCAAGGAGGTGAATGTCACACACATCTCACTCCCATACATATATATGTTTTATTAAAAATACGTGTGCCTGATTGTATGCTTTTAAAAATGACATTTACATAGCCAGCAGCCAATTAGCTTAGTTTAGCATAAAGACTGGGAACAGGGGAAACAGCTAAGGGGGGGAATCCACCTGCCAGCACCTCTAAAACCCACACATGTATTCACCTTATATATAGTTTGTAAAATGACAGTTTGTGATCTTCATGATGGCAAAATTCTAGTTAACCATGCAGGAAGTTACTGCTATCAGGCAAGAAATTGTCTGACACACAACTCCCTGTAAAACCACGTGTTGTTTTGACACTTTGGTTTTTTGTGCAGATTTAACAAAATGTCAATGGTATCAATTTCCAAAATGTTTAAATATTCCTTTATTATATCGTCTTATGTATGAAGCTTAACATACGTTTTCCCCCTCCTCTCTGCTTCCATCAGGCTGGCAGTGGTATTACAAGAAGTATATTGATGTGAAGAAAGGCGGTATAGGTGGACTGAGCATGTTGTTAGCAGGATACTGCGTGCTCAGCTACATCTGGAGTTACCCTCACATAAGTAAGTGTGTGGATTACTCTCAGGGTTGCTTGATGTAATGGGCTACATAGATTTGGAGATAACTGGTTTTCTGTGTTTTCCAGAGCGTGATCGCTGGAGGAAGTACCACTAAGGCCGAGGGAAGATGTTTGGACAAGCGAGACTCTGTATGAGGAAACAGCAGCTGTGGCAGAGGGAGGGTTCGGAACTCTTTAAGTTTTTATTCTGTTAATAATATATAATTAATCCAGATCCAAGTATTTACACTGGAGGTTTGTCTGAGAAACTGGTTTCTGGTCAATAGGTGCGCTCTCCTTTTCAACAATTCAAAAGCAAAAGTTCATTATTTTGGAAAATGATGCAGAGATCAAGACAAGTCTCATATATTTCTGTTAAATATTAAGCTGCTTTGCTTAGCTTAGTGTAGCATGAAGACTAAAAACAGGGAAACAGCTATACTGGCTCTGTCAAATGTAAACAAAATCCACCTACCAGCACCTAAAGCACTAATTAAAACGTTATATCTTGTTTGTTTAATCCGTACAAAAATCGAGGTGTAAAAGCCCCATAAAAAAGGTTAAAAATGTTAATTCAACTTAAAATAAACTGTTAATAAGTCAACTTTAAATGTGCCGGTAGGTCGCTTTTGTTACCAGTTTAATCTAAACTAACCAGCTGCTGGCTTGTATTTAGTAGACAGATGAGAGCACGATTTCAATTATTTCATTTAATATATATATTTCTGGCATATATAAGATGCCAGAAAATAAATAAGCCAATATCCCGACATGTTGAACTATGCCTTTAACAACTGGAAGAGTTGTGATTCTGAAACCAGTAGCTTCATTCTTGACTGATTACACTTGTATAGGACATCTAAAATGAAATACTGCACTGTAATGACCTTGTTTTATTTCACATTATTTATTCACTTATCTATGTTTATGTTATTAAGTCTGTTTGTATCTTATTTTTGTTTAGGAATGAAAAATGTTCACAAGAGAACTACTAATAATTACTCTTTATTGGGCCACTGTGTGACTCAGGGGCTCCACTAGGTGTCATTGTTGAGTTGTGTTACCAAAACCAACTGGGCTGGGCAGTCAAATGTTTGCTATGCAGAGTTTTCTTAGCTCCTTTGTGCAGAGGCATTGGTGCTGGGGCTCCATGAGAGGATTAAAGGGAATCAACAGATTTTTAACTTGATAAAATCTTACTGTGGCAGCCCAGAAACATGAAATTCCAAAATATCCTGATATTAGTATATGTGTAAAGCTCGTATATGTGTAGCAGAGGGTCGCAAACCTTGTTTTTTCTTTTCCAAAACGCTCCCCCCCCAGTCACATGATGTTATTATGCATGCTTAGTCTGTCAGTGCCAGTTTGTGAACACTCACAGAATAGTAATGGAGGGACGCTGAAGGAGGTTCTCAGCTGGACTGGACCAGTTTGTTATTGTATTCAAAATGAATTTATTGTTGACTCTCCTCGCTGCTGTAGTGAACACACATTAGCTACATATGAAGAAATGACAGTATGTTTGTAATGTTATGTTTTTCTTTTCCTGACACCGCTTCTTAGCCAACACAATAAAAAATAATTTCCATTTTCTCACTTTTTTTTGTTTGTTTTACATTCTTTTTTTTTTCTCCATACAAAAATTATAAATATTTTGTGTTTCACTTTTCATTTTTATACAAAACAACAAACTATACAAATCAAGTGAGACAAAAAAAAATAACAGTGAAAATGGAGGCAGAAATAAAAACACATCTCTGCACTGAAAACGGGAGAAAAAGCACAGTATGTTCCTACCAGGCTCTCAGACACTGATATGCATCGAGATAACACGTTTCACCAACACTGGACACATCCCTACCTCTTTTGTGCGAGTCTAAAACTAGCTTTTCTTGTGGATATAAGTGCTATAGAGGCACAAAGTCTTGCAGCAACTGCTTGAAGGAGCAAATAACAAATCTCAAGTGACCCATACATGTCATTAGAGATTAGCTTTTCAAAGCAGAGAGCCCAGTTTTTCTCACTGGTGTGCACTGGTAGATATAAGAGGTCTATAGGCAGAGATACAGGCGGGCTGCGATGGCCACTGGCACTCAAACACAAAATCTATCACCCCATGTAAAAAGGCCTTCGGTCTGCTCCTGTAGCCTATTGGCAAGCATATTTCACAGACATGTTAATAGAAGAAAGGTGAAACTATCCAGAATCAACTCCAAGAGCGTTTACCACGTTTAACCTAAGCTTTGGTCCTATGTTCGGGTTGGCAGCAATCGGCCTTCCTTGCTTAGTGCAGATATCTGTGGGTTAATCTGCAATAATGTCATTCCAAAAACAGAAATACATGGTGGATATTTAGGATTAATTCTTTATCATAATGGAAACACGTCACAGTAAGGTAAGTTTCTGCTCTAGAAACTAAAGGAAAACTCAACAGAACTAGGACACAGCGGGAGCCCCTAGTCATTTTAGGGGCACAGCTTCAGAGGAAACACTAAAGCCACAGAGCTGTTTAAATCACCAGCACAAAGACAGAAAGATCTGACAGTGATTCTGGACGAGACCACACTCTCTCCTATTATGAATTTTGGTTGCGCTGCTGAGAGGGAAAAAGACAGGAAATGTGAGAAATGCTTGAAATGAAACGCAGTGAGAAAGTGAGAAAACATCCTGCGGGAATGAACTAACACTTGGGAATAAAGACAAGAGTATGGCAATCAAACAACCGAACTACATGAAAACACAGCCATAGACCAGTGTGTGTGTATGCAGATCAACACACACAGACACACACACACTGATAAACATGTCAAGGTTGTAAAGCATAGATGGATATGATCAATATATCATTATACTGTATGCAGAAGGCAGACAAATATACGTACAATCAATGACCCTCGAGGGTCATTTAAACTAATGACGGTATCGTCATGTTCACAGAGCTGGGGAACACATCACAACAAACAAAAACAGTCACCTTTTTTTTAATGTCATTTCTAAAAATGAGGAAATAAAAATCTAAATTAAAAAAATAAAACATATTGTAACATATATTCCTCAATCTGAGGACTGAGCTCCCCTGACACAAACTGTGAAATGATAAAAGTGGTTGAGATCGAGATTCGTCCTGTGTCGGAGCTTGCATACCTTTAAGGTACAAAAGAAAAATGCCAAAGAAAATGTGACTTAAGCACAAGAAAGAAAGCATTGCTGAGTACAGTAATACTACTAAATATGACTATGTGACTAGTTTGACTGGTTTCTAGTGTGATTAAAAGAGGTTATCCTTGTTGCAGGCAGCTGAAAGCAGGCAAATAGATTTTGGTTCAGTTCCAAATGTTCACATTCGGTTTAGCCTAGCGTACACTGTATATCAACGAGAGCCTCATATTCATATAGTTCCTGAAATAAGCAACATTACGTTTAGTGCAATTTGTCTATGTGAATGTATCTCTACTGAGCTTACCTTAAAGGAAATCTACACCTCTGAACCATGAATCTAAACACATTGTACTAAAGCGTGTTTGTGTGTGTGCGTTTGTGCACGTTTGTAATGTGAGAAGGAACCGAGTGAATGAATATTTTTTTGAATAGAGCTTCTTCATGTAAACACTTCAAAATAAAAACCTACAATTAGGCACAGAGTCGTCATTTTGTCCCTCCTCCTCATCCCTGTTTTTCAGCATAGGTAGTGGGGGGGGGGGTAATCAACTGGCACAAAATATTTATGGTGTGTATGTGTGTGTGTGTCTGTGTGTGAAGAGAGGGACACTCTTACATTCAAGCTACTGAAATCACAGACCCTACCTTTTTTTTTTTTAAATAAGGTTAAAATAAACAAAACAACAACATTTTCCATCTGTTAGTCCATTGCACACATTCCCGGATCTTTATAGGTAATTTCAGGTGCCTGTCTTCACCCGGCACCCTGACGGAGTCCCTGACTCCTACGTCATGCCTCAAAAAACTCCCCAAAATGAACCAAAAAGAACTAAATACATGCTACATGGCCGGAGATGGTATTACAAAGATAACAAGACCTGAAAGAAGAGTTAACCTCTCTTCACACAGGGTTGTGGGCGAAACACCACAAATATTACAACAGGAGAGTTGGACAAAAAGAAACACACACACACACACACACACACACACACACACACACACACACAAAATTATTTGAAACCATACAGGGATGATCAGTCTTAACATTCCAAGATGCTGTTGACTGCCGCCTCCAGAGCAGAGTCTGTGTCGGGATGAGGGGGTGAGGTGAGCTGAGAGGGGTACTGGGGCTGGATTGGGTGGGAGGACAGGTGGTGAGACACCTGGTAGTGCGTCTGTCCTCCTGCCGTTGCTGCAAAAGGTGAAGGGTTACCTTGGGGATAACTGTTGGCAGCGGTGAGGCTGTTGTTGCTGGCGCTGCTGGGCCCATAGTGTTGCTGGGATTTCTTCAGTTCCAGGACGCTCTTGTTTTCTAAGTGTGGAGGGTGGAGCTTATCTGCTGCACCCGTACCTACGGCCCCACCCCCTCCCGGGTCTCCATACCCGGGCTGGGAGTCTGTCCTGTACGGTGGCTCAGTAGAGCCTCTGTCTGACTCATTCCAACTACAGATGGACAACGACTGAGAGGGGAGGGGATCTTGGAAAAGTTTGGATTTCATCCCACAGCAGAAGTCTTCCAAGAAGCTGTCTATAAAACAAAGAAGAGACGGAAGAGTTAAATAAAAACCTGTGAGAACATAATTTGCTCCAAATGGCTGTACTCCTTTTTTATTTGTTTTACCTGGATCCACTAGTACCGTGCGTTTGTCTTGTGTCAGGTTGCTGCGCTCCTCTTGGTTGAAGGTCCTGTCAATCATCACCATTTCTGAAGACGGACTTGAACGCTGGGGGAGGAGAGGCAACCTGTTAGCCCTATGCCTGTCATAACATGAAACACATGTATGTACGCAGCCATTTGCACACGTGCAGGCCTACCTCAGCTTCCACCATTAGCAGCCGTCTGTATTTGTTTACCATGGCGTGGGTCCTCTTCAACACCTGAGTGGCAACTACCTCAAATTCATCATCCACTGTAAACAAAAACACAAAAGCTCTATTTTTACAAGGTACTTTGATTCTGCAAACACAATGTACTTTCAGCATAAACGTGCTGCTCTTTGTGGCTGCAGTTTCCTGCCTGTCGTGCAGATTTAGGTTGAAGATAAATAAAATCAAAGCCGTACCCTGTGAGAACTCATCCTGGCTGGGTGGAGCCCCCTGGAACACGTGGTATGGCAGGAGTCTTTGCAGCGCGTCGTCGATTGAAGTGAATCTACGCCGATCTGAGGTCTGAACTCCAGCATGATCCTTCCTCAGCTGTTGTAAAATCCTTTAGAGATAACATGAAAAAGAGACGAGCTCCTTCAGTGGCTGAATGACAAGCTATACGAAACACGAGACAACACAAAATATCTAAATAATGTACAGTAAGTTAAAGAAATAACTCACATTCCTCCTCTTGTAAGTGGCAGAAGGGCAGGTCTCTTCTGAGCACTGACCTGGAAAGAGAAAGTATACATACCAAAGTTATAATACCACCGACATCAACGACTATCAGCATGAATAAATATACACTGAGTGCAAAACGTTGGAAAAAAGTTGCCGAATGAGTGATATACCTGAGAGTTTAGCGTTGAATCTTGAGTCATGGTTGTCATGGCTAAGAGAGATCATAAAAAACAACAAAGCAGCCTCATTAGGTCAAAGTGGAGCAGTTAAATGTATTCATCACTGACAGAAACAATAATCAACTTTTGTTACCATGGATGCTGCTGAGCTGCCCCTGCCTGTCCTGTTTGAGGGCAGGTGATGAAGAATTCTGAAGAACCAAAATTAAACGTCAGATAAAAGTTCTCAGGAAATAAACAGAACAGTCTGAAAATGAACTTGCTTTCTCATACCTGTCTGTAGTCTTGTTGATCCTGTGTCACAGTACAAGGTAAAGGGGACAGAGAAGTGCAATTCTGAGTCTGAGTCACTAGAAGGCGCTGAACGGGGCCAGCCGTCACTTGGCTTTGACCGCCGATCGCCGCCGTCGCCGGGCCGACCAGAGTCAGCCGCCCAGGAGCGCACGATGTCTGCACGGGAGCGGAGCTAGCGCAAGAAACTCCGGTCCATGTTTGAGTTACAGCCTGACTCCCACCGACTACTCCCTGATTCAAAATTAGCTGGCCTCCTGGTTGTGCAGTGAAGTTCTGCCCCGCGACAATCTGCACCGCATTCTGACTGGTAATTAGGGCATTTGAGTTGGGGTCAGCGGGGCCATTGTGGATGCTGCTGGCCGGAGTGAGTGCCAAAGAGCTGGGCAGCAAGTACTGTCCAGGTTGAATATTTGTCTGGGCCTGTGCTTGTTGTTGTTGCTCCAGGGGCGGCTGCACTACTATGGAGCCGTTGGCTGTGTACTGTCCCCCAGGAGTAGCAGTGTTAGCGTTAACTACATTAGCCATGGTGGTGGGAGTGGGCTGAAGACCAAGGCTGTAGACAGTCTGAGCTCCAGCTTGAAGGGGTTTAGGCTGAATAGGTCTGACAAGAGTCTGGGTCCCTCCCGGGCCTCTCTGG